GAAAGATAACCAAAACAAAAAAGGAGAGAATGAGGGGAACGTATGTATGCAAAATATGCCCACCTGGAAATCTGTGAAAATAAAAAATAAACAAAAATATAAATAAAAAATGCAGGGACCCAAAAGTGTGGACCAAATTCGTTTACAAATCGTTGGTCAGACAAGAGTGTGTGGTGTGTGTGTTGTGTGTGTGTGTGTGTGTGTGTGTGCAGGCACTATCATCTGTGGATTCATGCGATTTTAATGTAGCATACATTTTGGGGTCAACCAAAAGAGTTTGGGGTTTAAGTGAAAAGCTTGAGAGTATTACAAGCACAATTAGTAATAATATTTAGACAAGTGAAGGAAAAGCTGAATCGGAGTACTTTCGTTTAAATAAATAAAATTTCTAAGGTTTTTTCAATTATTTTGAAGCTTAATAGGTAGACAATATAATTAGTTGTTTACCTTTATTCAGTCCAAAGTTATCCAAGCAGTGAAGGAAGCATTTTCAATTTTCTTGGTCGAATAAAAATTCTTAAAGTTATACATACTTCGATTTATCATAAATCATTTAATAAATATAACATTAAACAACATATTACACACTATAAATATATAATAATTGTTTTTCCATCTATAGATATATTTAAATATAATAGATCAACTTGCAGGTGTTGACATATGAACAGAACCTTTTTAACTTGTTATATGGTTGGCCAAGCAATACATTATTAATATAGAATTATAAAATATAAAAAATAAATAAATTAACAAAAAAATAAAAATTAGTGAATAAATATAACAATAAATATATAAACCAATAAACATAAGACAATTTTGAGAAGCCATTTAGCTAAAAACAAATGATAAATAATTCAAAACAAATAAGTAACTGAAAAAGATTCGATTTTTGACAATAAATTATATATAAAATTACAAACAAACTTAATAATCTATCTCTTAAATATTTTTTTAAAAATTTATAGATATTTTTCGCACAAGTTGTAATCCAGCTTGACCCAATTCCTAATCCCTGTAATCCCTGCTGTTGTTTTCTTCGCTAGAGATTAGCCCCCGATTACGACGATGACATTCCGGATCAAAGGCACTCACTGCCACAGAGTTTTCTCTGCTTCTTTTTTTTAAGGGTATTCCCCGGGTGAAAATCATTGACAATTCGCTGACGTCTCCCATCCGCCCAGAAGCCCACCGGAAGTGTGGGCACAAAATGCTAGAAAATAAAAATAAAATAAAACGAAGCGAAAGGACAGCTCACAAATGGCAAACATTTTCAGCTGGCACACGTGGAAGCATTTTGTCGGACCGGAAGTCGCATAATTTCAAAGCGGAAACAACTAATTTGATTGTATTTAGCACCAGTCTGGGACTGGGGACTGGGGCGGGGGGTGGTGGTGCTTTTATCCAGGCGAGACCAGGCTTAATGAGCAACTTTTTAGTTGCAATTAGCCAAAGTAGAAACATCGAGTTTAGCCGAGTTGAATTTTCTAGAGTGGTGGTGGTGGCTCCCGGGTTTTTGTGGTTTTTTCCCACATTTCACTTTCATTTTTATGGGAACACACACCAAAAACAAAAAAGGCTAGGAAAATGTGCTAACTTTTTAATGTGCTCAACTGCTGTCCAGAGCTTGAGCTCTTTCTCTTTCTCTTTGGGGGATAAAGGCTGGCGGAAAACCCCACTTGCCCGATATCAAAATGAACAACTCCTGGCGACTCTGCTGACTCTGGTTATAATGCCTGGCAGGTCAGGTCAGCTGACAGCTGTGAAACTATCCAAAAACTGACGGACTCTGCATCCCCTCTCTGCCCCCTCCTGTCTGACTTCTGACAGGTAAAAGGCACCGAAACTTTACATCGCTTGATTAAAAACTTCACAGGTAAAACGAAACGAAAGCCCTGCATTGCGCTAACTAATTTTCAAAAAACTTTTGCGCAACGCCCGTTAAACTTGTTAAAACTATGCTCTTTATTATTCATTATTTGTAGCTTTATAAGCTGGGGAATAGATTGAAATGTTACTGATTTCTAAATTAATTCGGCTTTAATGTTTAATCAATATTTTACTATTAATATTATACATATGTTGCTTAATGTTACTTATTTATAAGATATAATATTTATCTGTGTATATTTTATTCTGTGATTTTCTACAGCTTACTTATTTCTAAAATATAGTTGTTTTAATACTATCTGTATAAGTTTTAAAGCGTTGCATAAAGGTACCTTGTTTTTAAAACATTTCATTTATATAATAAATATTTAACTCTATTTATATCTTTGCCTGGGTCCTCTACTTTTAGTTAAAAGCTTAAAAGAAAGTAAAAGAGTCATTTCCGACCCCATAAATCATATATATTCTTGATCAGCATAAACAGGCGAATCTTTCTAGGCATAAAACAGAAAAACAAATTTTTGAAAATTTTTTTCCATTTTTTAAGCGTTTTTGTTCCTTGTTAACATTTTGAAAAATCGACAAAAATTGAAATAGTTTAAAAATAAATTTTGAGTTTGCAGATTTATTAAACTATGAACAACTAGAACAGAAATCAAAATTAATGCATTTTTGGCTGAGTAGTGAGATTTTTAAATTTTTATTTGTTGAAAAAATTGTCATATAAAAATATCGATTAAAAAACGGTATTATAATTTTAGTCAGACGCTCGAAACGCAGTAAAGGAGTCATTTCCGACCATATAATTCATATATATTCTTGATCAGCATAAACAGGCAAATCTTTCTAGCTATTTCTGGGCAAAAAAAAAATTGTTCTAAAATTTCCCATATTTTTTTTAAAGAAAGGGGTTACATCGTCAACATTTTTCGCATAAAATCTAAATTTTTTTACAATTTAGATGAAGATGAAGATTTATAAAACTACCAAAAACAAATATAAAACAGCTTTCCGAATTAAAATAAATGCATTTTTGGCCTAGATATGAGATTTTTTAAATTTGATTTTTCGAAAAAATTGTTTAAAAAAAATATATATGAAAAATATCTATTTAAAGAATGCGAAAATGCATTTTTATAATTGGAACCTTCAGGATATATAAACTTCAGTTTCCCGTAGTTAGTTTTCCTTTACTTTGATGTTACCTAATTTAATTTATTTTATTTTTATACCTTTGTATTAATATTTCCCGTGTTGTAAATATTTTCCCACGTTCTTGCAATTTATTTCTTTGATTTTGTAACTCAAACAATCAATACTTTTCCCTGATGTAAAATGTTTATTATATTTTCCCAAATTTCATATTACATAGTTTCTAGGTAACATCATATTTTTTCCACCCAAAAAAAAGGGAAAAGCATTGCAATTTATTAGAACTAACAACCTCATATATCATGCACGACAGCAAGCTGCTTGCTGCGCAAAAATCGGGCGAAAAGTTTACAACTCAATTTGTTGGACATCCCGCAGAACATATCCATAGTTAATGATCCTCCGCCGGGCGCAGTTAATATTGCAAACAACAGTGGAAAATGTGTTGGGGGGAAGCGGAAAAACTTTTACGGATTTTCGGGGGTTGCTATGCGGGGTGGGGTTTGGGAATGGGGGTTTTTCCAGCAAACCTTTTTGACAAGCGTCGCGTAGTCATAACTTTTTTTTGCGCTTTTCTAGTTGTTGCTATTTGCCGTTGTTATAATTGCTCATTACGCTGGCATGTGCCACGCCCCCTAGCGCCACCACATGCCCAGTTTTCTGCCCAGTTTTCCGCCCAATTTTCCAACCCCAAACCCCTCTTTCTCTCACTCCCTCTCATTTTGCAGCTTTACAGCTCGCCACAATGAAACTTTTCAGTTGATTTTATTATGTTTTTCTCCCGTTTTTCCTACGTTTTCCCCTTCGTTTTTCCTTTAATTTTTTTATAAATTTTTCCCCAATGTTGTGTTTGTTGTTTGATGCCTTCCAATGGCAGATTTCCTGTCGAAACCGAAACTTTTCTCTAGACCCGAATTAAAATGTTATAAACATGGTCAAACATTGGAGACCCTGGGTTCCCCCAAATAATTAAATATATTTATATATGTGCATAAATATATATTTTAGTGTTCTTTTGGGTTGAGCTAATTAAAATCATTTCATAAATTTGCCATTTACACAAAAAAAGGGGAAAGAGTTCTTAGAAAATGGGATTAGAAATGGTAGTTGAAGACTAGAGATGGTCTTTGAGTAATTTTAATATTTTGTTACTCATATTTCAAATATATTTATTTATTATTTATTCTATAATATTTAACATTTATATTTTACAATTGCTAAAATAAATATTTCTTTACTTAAGCATTTATAAAATATTTCACATTTGCAATCATTTCAGTATTCTTTAAAGGAAAGAATTGGTTTCTTCAAGAATTACTATGTTAGATGTTTCCTTTCTATTTTTAATTTTTAAAGTATTTTATGTTTATTATTTATTTGTTTAATTTTATCATTATGCAACACCCATTTTAAGAACAAAAATATCATTCAAAGAAAGTAAATGTTAAATGTTTTATTATAATTTAAAAAATATTATTCTTCTTTGCAAGGTGTTATACTTCGAGTCAGAAGCTTATAAATCAGTGAAGGAGTCATTTCCGACCCTATAAATCATATATATTCTTGATCAGCATAAACAGGCGAATCTATCTAGTCATAAAACAGAGAAACAAATTTTTGAAAAAATTTGGCAATTTTTTAAGCGTTTTTTTCTCATTGTTAACATATTGACAAATCGACAAAAATTGAAATAGTTTAAAAATGAAATTTCAGTATGCAGATTTGTTAAACTATTAACAGCTATAACAAGACAGCTTTCCGAATCGAAATTAATGCATTTTTGGCTTAAGTATGAATTTTTTAAAATTTGATTTGTCGGAAAAATTTGCATATATAAATATATAAAAAATATCTTTAAATATAAGATTTAAGCGTAGTTTTGATCAATTTCATATACGATCCTATAACTCGACTTAAAACTTAAATAACTAAATATAATTCTTCATTTTTAATTTCAGCTTTATCGATTTGACCAGCATTAGAATCTTTGCATCATATTTTGTTGAACAAGAGAACTGGTAAGTTTCTATGATATTTAAATAGCTTCAAATATATATATATAATTTTTTATGGATAATTTTTAAGGATTTCCAATGAAAACCTTATATTTTAAGTAATGCTTAGCAATGGCATTAATATATATGTATATTAATTCCCTTCCTGAAACAAGTCCCATCTCTAAAACAAAAACACAATGAGTGGAAATGAACGACCTTCCCTCCAGAGTTTGGTTTGCTTAGGTGATGGAATTTCGGTTGGGCGAAATAAATGGTGGTGAAATGGTGGTGAAATGTTGGTGAAATGGTGGCAAGAATCCTGAAGTGGGGTCAATGGAACCGGATGGACTTGGACCTGGAATTGGGGACTTGGGGCTCTTGGAGTGACTGTGCCTTGCGGCTGGGACGCGACACGTGCAACGGGCGCGTCAAATAGGAATTCATTAACAAAACGTTACACAAAATTTTAATTAAATATTAAAACATAAAAGTTTTTGGCGAGCAATATTTCCTCGTCCTTGGCGACACCAAAACCTTGGGGGCACTTGAGTCGAGCCGCCCCACCCACAAAAAAAAAAACAGGGATGACAGCGGGCTTTTTGTTGTTACTGTTTTTATTTCTTCTGGGGAGGAGGAAAGGGAAGTGACGGTGCCTTCAGTAATAGAAAATTAAGTTCTATTTATGTGCAAAAGTTCCTCATTAAAATCGAGCAGGCAAACTTTGATTAAACTTGCCTGCCATCCAGCCGCTCGCTTTTATTTCTGCTTAGTTTCCTTTTATTTTTCGTGCTTTGTTTCTACAAGTATATATACAATATATATATTTATTTTTTTTGCTCTTGTTATTTGGTAGAGCGGGGCAACAGTTTGTTTTTATGCGACAAAACTTGTCGATAATTTAATTAGTGGAATTTCCTAGCCGGACACAATGCCGGGGCAATAAATGCCGGCCTGAAGAAGACAGCACAAATTGCCCATAAGACTTGAAAGGAGCCCGCTGGCAAGAGCACCAGGACTCAGATGAGGGAGGATGCAGGATGAAGGACAGGAGAAGGTAGTTGTGGGTTTCAGGATATTCAGGGGATAAGTAGTAGGGCGTGGCAGGGCGACAGAATGCCTCTCGGTTTTGCCTGCGGGCATTTAATGTATCTTTAATTTCCCCTGTGGTTCATGTCGCACACAATCAGAGAAACAGGCAACGCGAGATCTCCCCGTTCCGGCCAGAAAACATCTCTATATATATATATCTATATATATGTGTATACATGTGGCTATATCTACATACTGGGGTTACAAAACATATATATGTATGTATGTAGAGAGAGACCAGCACACGTGTGTGTGTTCTGTGGGCACAGTTCCGGTTCCGTTGAATAGAAACTGACTTTTTTGCTATCTAAGGGTTTTATTTTTTGAAACTTTATTTAATTTTATATACAAATTTTAGAGGAAATAATATGAATAAATAAATATATCGTTAAAAAAGCCTCCGTTTTGTTGTGCAGAGGTAAGGGTATAATTTAAGAATGGCAGTCATTGCTATTTATTTATTTATTTTTTATAAATAAACATATAAATAGTTAAATAAATAAACAAGCAAATACATATAAATAACTAATTTATAAATATAAAATAAACCATATTTTGATGATTAAAAATAAATAAACAAATTTAAGTGTACAAAAAACATAATAAAGATTACCTAATAAAAGGATATTTATAAAATATAAAGAATATATTTATTGAGAGAGTTTTTTTTCAAATATTTACTAATTTAATAATACTTAAGGAATTATGACAAATTTAATGTTTTAAGAATATTTTAAAAGGATTTCAGATAGAAACTAAAGTGCTGTTTTAGAAATCTCTAAGGTCTTTTTAAAATGTGTCTAAAAATATTCTAAACATTTTTAAGATACCAAATTCAAATTAAAATTGTTCTTGTTTTATAATATACTTTTATGTATACTATTTTTAGACACCCTTTAAATTATTTTAAAACCTCTAATGATTATATATAATTTATTTAATTTATTTACCAATTCAAAACATTTTTAGGTACCATTTTCAGCTTAAAATGATGGCATTTTATAATGTAAATTTTTGTATATTATTTTTAGACCCCTTTTTATTGTTTTAAAAACCCTGGTAATTTGATATAGTTAATATAATATTAATTACTTATTAAAATATAATTAAAGTCCCATTTTTATATCAAGAAAATCTCTTCAAATATGAAATTCTCTTTCAACTTGTTCAAAATAATTCTGAAAAACCCAAAAATCTTAAACCCCTGAACCTTGCTGTTTTGGAAAACTTAAGGAAATGGTTTTTCCAGCACAGACACACACACATAAGCACACTACTGCTCAGCAATCACACATGAGTGAGTTACTCCCCAATCCCTCCACAAAATCAACATTGTCGTCATCGTCATCGCCATCGTCATCGTGTGGCCAGTGCGTCGTATTAACGCCCATCTGAAATCCAAATACAAATTGGAATTCTAGACAGAGACAGCTCTTTTGCCACAAGGAAAAACCCTAGACAATAATAACGACTTGTAGTTAATGCCATCAAGCTAAGAAGCCAGGCCTAGGGCTTTAACATGGCAGAAACAAAAAAAAAGAAGCGGCTACCCTTTTTTAATTTGAGTTTAAGACTTCTGGGGTTCTGGCTAATGACGCCCTTGGGGAAATACCCATCGATGCCCGATGACCCATGACTAAAAGCCAAAAAAACAAAAAAATAGTAAGGAAAATGGAAATGAAAATCGAGGGAAGAAGCTGGGGCCAGTGCATCCAATTAACTGTGAACATAGAGCAGCATTCTTACATAATCAGGACGTGCCATTGGGTACAAACAAATCAAGACTGGCTAGGCTAGAAGTATTCATGAGTCATTCGACTCATTCACTCAGTTGACCATTTTCGGAGGGGGAGGCCATAATTTATTAGGCATGCAGTGTTCTTGGAAAAGCACCTGCCGACTTGATTGTGCACTGAGGAAAAGTTCAGGGAATTATGTTTAATATTTAATATTTAAAAAATATAAAAGTTCAAAATGAAATAACTCAAGACTGGACAAATTTTAGTTCAGCAATTGATGTCTAACTTCTAGTCACAAAAATATATCAAAAAGTCTTGAATAAGGCTTTGAAAAATGCTATAATAGAATATAGATATATTAAAGGAAGAAAATATTCTACAAAATTTTTTGGCAATTTAAATATTGCGCTTCTTTTTTTCTCAGTGATCCGTCTGTAAGGTGTGGCTGACTTTGATTTGATTGAGCACAAAATTCACCATTTCCCAGCTTGTCCAAACATTCAAATGCACTCAGTGTCCAGTCAGTGCGTACATAGGATGTGTTCCGGTTTTTCGAGTGGAGTGTGTGTGTGTTATTTTTTTTTAAGGTAGAGGGTAGAGGGGAGGTGAACACACTTTTAATACCCTGACTAGGCATGTTCATATGCCACACACACACCGCGTTGCTGCCACACGGGGCAAATGCAACAAGCTGGCAAAAATCAGGACATAGGGAAAAATACTTAGTTACAGCTTGAAAATACCTCTTATAAAATAATAACAAAATATTTAATAATTTAATAAACAAAACTAGCTTTGAATATATTCCAAATGTACAAAGTTTTGATAGGACTTTGCACATTTATAAATTAATAAACAAATAAGAACTTGGGTATACAGTTCCGAAATGAAATTTAAAACTACTTTTTCAAGGTTTCTTTAACTATCAAATATATTATATATAATATATATTTATTGTATATATTTGAAACATATTTACCCCTATGACATACCCCTTAAAAACCTCCCAAAAAAAAAAGAAAGGAGACCACTGTGAAAAGTGCAATCGCCTGGCCACGCCTCGACCAGAACTGGAGCACATCAATGGGGATTTATAAAAAATGCAAATTCATTAGAGCCTCGGCACAGGACGAGCCGTTTGCAGGACAAACCTGCTGACTGAGTGCTGAGCTCTCAAGAGCTTGAGAGCCCCCCCGAAAAAATGGAGTCCTGAAACCAGAACCAAGTTGTCTAGCATTTCGCTACGGTACAGTTCAGTTTTTGGGGCCACTAGCTGCTCCACTAATTCCAATGGCTTGACACACAAAAAATATATAAAAAAAACGAAAAACCGAAAGAAAAAACCAAAGTAAAATGGGGTTAGGGAAACCCCTTATGAAACAGACGTTGAAACAGAGGCGTTGTGTGAAAGTGCAGCATCAGGGACTTTTCCCACTTTCCCTCAACTGCGGCAAAGCATTTGGAAATTAAAAAGAACAGCATCCGACCAGAAGAAGTCGAAGGAAGAGAGAGTGCAACCAACACACACATTTATATTGATGGGGCATGCAACGTGATGTTGCCTCGTGGCTGCACTGACACGTAAGATGGGCGCTGCCAGTTGCTTTTTAAGGATACCCATGATGATCCTGTGGGACATACTGGCGTATCCTCAGACATGTAATCAGTGGGAACAGGAAAAATTAAGGAAAGAATGAAGGATTTAAAGGGAAGCAGGGTGAGAAATATGGATATGGACAGTATGAAGGAAATTCTAAATAAAAAAATATAGAGGGTTTTCTCAGCAATATGATAAATAAAAATATATAAATGAATTTCTGGAAACCCGAAACTTAAGACTTGTAAAAATAAAATGATTAAGCTGAGGTTATCAAAGTTAAGATGATATTTACATATATCCGAATTTACTGAAAATTATTGTTCTTCAGTATTAAATTTAATATATATTCTCTTTAAACATTTCCATAAAAACTTAATAACATAAAATAATAAACACTTAAGCTGAGCTTATTAAAAGTCAAGTAATTTTAGAAGATATTCATATACAAATTTTCAAAAAATAATGTTTCTCAAGTATTCTTTTAAATACATTCTCCAATATTTTCCCATAAATACTAACCAATATCTTTGCAAATAATTTAAATTATAAAATTTGTAATTAAATATCAAGCATATTTACTTTACTTTACTC